ATACTTTCTCTGTACAGCAATTAAATAAAGTCGCACTTTGTATTCTGACATGAGTATCCTTTTCTTTTTGTTAGAAATATATATTTTTGTTTTCCCCAATTCCCTGTTCTCGCACTGGTTTAGCTCTGTGCTTAGCAAATATGACTTCTTTCCCTTACAGTAACAGTTGCCTATAGCCTCACCAGGTCTACTTTTCACAGAATCACATAATGGTTGAGGTTGGAAGGGGCCTCTAGAGGCCATCTAGTCCAACCCCCCTGCTCCAGCAGGGACACCTAGAGCACGTGGCACAGGGTGGCGTCCAGGCGATTTGTGGAGATCTCCAGAGAAAGAGACTCCACAACCTCTCTGGGCAGCCTGTTCCAGGGCTCTGTCACCCTCACAGTAAAGAAGTTCTTCCTCATATGAAGATTAAACTTCCTGTGTTTCAACTTACACCCATTACCCCTTGTCCTGTCACTGGCCACCATGGAGAAAAGCCTGGCCCCATCCTCCCTACAATCACCCCTCAGGTACTTGAATACATTAATCAAGTCTCCTCTCAGCACTCTCTTCCCCAGACTAAACAGGCCCAGCTTGCTTATTCTTTCCTCATACGATAGATGCTCCAGTCCCTTAATCATCTTTGTGGCTCCACGTTGGACCCTTTCCAGAAGTTCAATGTCTTTCTTGTACTGGGGAGCCCAGAACTGCCCCCAATACTCCAGATGCAGCCTCACCAGAGCTGAGTAGAGGGGCAGGATCCCATCCCTCAACCTGCTGGCAACGCTCCTCCTGATGCAGGCCAGGATCCCATTGGCCTTCTTGGCCACGAGGGTCCATTGCTACCTTATGGTTAACCTGTTGTCAACTAGGACTCCCAAATCCCTCTCCATGGAGCTGCTTTCCAGCAGGTCAACCGCTAGTCTGTACTGGTGCCTAGTGTTATTCCTCCCCAGGTGCGGGACCCTGCACTTGTCCTTGTTGAACCTCATGAGATGAGCGGGGCCAGGCACAGCTGCTCCCCATGCAGCTGCCTCAGGCTGGAACAGTCAGAGGGCTCTGCCCTGCCCTGCAGTCTATAGGGCGCCTGCAGTGCCCAGGGGTCTCTTTGGGAACACTCTTCTCTCAGCAGCTCCATGTGGCTTTCAAAGGGGAATAGGAATTGAAAATTCTAGAGGAAAGGAGGGAAAAAGTGGTGAAGCATGGGGAAAAAGTGAGCTTGTGAGGGCACAGAAATGGGGAGGGCGGGCGGGGAAATGGTGCTGGTTGGAAGCTGCTGTTTGAACCACAATGTAGTTTCGATGAACCATAGCACGAAGGCTGCTGGCTCATAAAAAAGTGGGATACCCAAAAGGAAAGCAGTGATCCCAGAGCAATTGCATCCCATTACGGTATGTCAGAGATGCCTTTGATGGCACAAACCTGTAATTAGTTACGGGCAACTTTGCTATTTTTGAAGAAAGAGAAGGAAACAAAAAGAATTATTCCTTGTATTAGGGAATAGCTCATTCAAGTCTTGCTTTAAATAAAATTCGTTCACTGCTGATATATATACTCTCGTGATTTCAGAATAAACATCAGTGATCCAGTAAAGTTTAGACAATCTTGAGAACCACAGGAGAGATTTGAAAGTCTACTGAGGTAGACTTCTTTAAGTTTTAAGGATTTGAAGGTTTGGTTCCCACCCCTTCTGCATTTGAGAAGCTCACTTAACTACTAGTAGTTTGAGAAGGAAGGTCTCTCGGTTCTGTAAGAAAAAAGAAAACAGAAGGATTCGGCATGAGCTGCGAAACGGCCGAGAGCTGCATTTCACGCCTGCTAACGCTAGAGGGGGCAGCAGGAGAGCGAGGGAACAGAAGCACCCGGGAAGCGCCCGGTACCCCGGCGAGAAACCCGCCCAGGGCACTCGAGCTCCAGGTTCCCAAAACCGCAACCGATCGTAGCTGGACAAGGTCTGCTCACCTTGGCCGTTCCTCCGGGAGTGCCAAGCACCAGTTTTTGCAATTCCTTCTGGGAACCGTGCCTCTTTTGGGGCTATTTCTCTGCATGGAGAACAGGGAGCTACAGTTGCAGTTCAAGAGCTTGGGGCTGCAAAGCTGTGACGGACGCCACAGTGAATCTGTGCAGAGGCCTCTGGCACATGGTCAACCCGAGCACCCGCCAGGCCACAGCAGAGGCTGGGGCTGGTTCGCCTCCTGATTTTCCGTAGTATATGGCAGGAGCAGGAAACAACTCACCCCTTTATGGCTGGTGCGAAGAAGGCTCCCAGCCCTGAAGTGGTGCCGCTTCCACGGCAGCCTGGGAAGCCCAACATGCCCCGGAATTCCAGCAACAACACTGGCTTTGTGGTGCGGATACTGTAACACACACAGGCACTCCTCTTAATCTCACTAACCGCAGTTTATTCATATACTGAAAGAATACACACGCGTGTCAGTAGCAAGGAGTGCACCACCTCCTCTTCACTAAAAAAAAGCTACATGTATGTACAGCCTTTAAATGTTCCCAGTGTAACTACCATACTGTATTAAATGTACTTTCATATAAACTACTTCTCTTTACATCATTGTATGCATTTGAAAATGCGTTAAAAATTACCGAGGGGCATGTTCTGTTATCCATTCTCACTGTCCTATGCTTCTGCCTGGCGTTCTGACAGGCACAGTAAATTATGGTTATGCATAGCTTATTTACTACCCAAAACAGAATATATTACAGAATACAGGCCAGGGAGACAATACTATTGTGGCATTTGACAAGGCAGAAAGAAAGAATAATTTAGGTGCTTCGTAACTGCTGTTATTCTGGCTGTAATCTGGAGCTCTTCCTTGGGAGCAGAGCAGAACACGGCGCTTTTTGAGACACTGCCTCATTTAATTCTGTAAAACCCCTCTTCTTCACTGGCCAGTGCTTTTGTGCCCCCTCCTGCTGCTTTGATCCCAGGCAGGTCCTGGCGCTAACTTGGCTGGGAGCGGCCACTCCTGGGCCTGATGGGGCGGCAAAACCCATCCCATCCCACGTGGATGAGCTGCGCTCCCGTTGATCACTTCATCTTCGTTATTAAGCCCGCCTCTGCAGAGACCATTTTAATTTAATTCTATTTGATAGCCAAGTCTCAAAGCCCCTTGGCTCTTGAATAGTACAATCGTTTGCTATTGGGTACAAAAGCCCTTTGCAACCGTCCTCATCTGCCTTCTCATCAGAAATAAGATCCAGCTTCTTTAAACCAGCTTTTTGCTTTTCGGCCCCTCGCTGTGCGAAGAGTACGAGCAGCGAGTCCCAAAAGCAGAGGTGAGCACACTGTGAAATGCTGCTCCTGGGCAAAGCCAGGCATGCACAGTGGGCACAAAAGCAGTGAAAAATGCCGCCTCACAAGGCAAGTTAAAGAAACTGCTTGTCAGCTCTACCCGCTGCACAAGGACAGGCTCTAAAAACTGAGAGAACAGTGAGAAACCTCATTCACTGCCAGGCACGCTAACCACATCTTGGTTTCACAGGACTGCTTGGCTCAATCCCAGGGAAGCTAGTGACAACACTTACTGCCCTGCGCGGGGCAGCCTGGGCGCCATCAGCCCGAGCCGAGGAGCGGCCGCCACCCGAGCGGTCAGAG